CCCACCCCGGACCCCTCATAGCCCCCCCTTCCAATAGTCCAGCATATCTGATTATCCGGCACCCCCTGTATCCTAAAGGTGCCAGATTATCGGAAGTTTACTGTAGCTTTTGAGTGAGAGTGTGAAGTAATGCCTCCTAGAATGTTGTGACATGAATGTTTTGTGTTCTGTTTTTCTTCAGAGTCTCCAAGAGGAAAGAAATAAGTCAACAAAAAGCATGATTAATATCAACAGCCGCCTTCAGGAGATATTTGGAGATGCCATTAAAGCTGCATATCCTGATTTAGAAAAGCCTCCACTGGCAGTCACGCCAAGTCAGCAGCCCAAATTTGGGGATTACCAGTGTAACAGCGCTATGAGCATAACAAAGGTAAATCTGTTTACAAAAATCCTAGTGGATGGGGTTTCTGTGGGGTCTGAAGCTCTGTAATGATATATCCAAAGTTATATCAGGTTCTATATTAGGCATGAGGAATTTGGATTGCAATAGGAATAGGCTCTTGAATTTCCATTTTGACGAATAGTGCAAGACTAACAGGATTCTGAAGACCATCAAGGCTAGATTACCTGCCTCTGAAGTCTAGATTTTTGTAGCTAGGTAAGGGGCAGTGATTGTGCATTCATGGAATTTTGTGTTGCTCTTTCAAACAGTTCAAGTATTTTTCAATTGCAAGTTAAAGATACATGGATCTGTTACTTAATTATTTTATTGCTATAAATGCTTCATAATTGTTCCCATAAAATAATCCATTCTTTTTTCTCACTCCAAACATGCATGTAACTATAATTGTATTCATCAGATGTCAGCCAAGCAACTGTTAATAAAGGAAAGCCCCATTTCTGCAACCCTCTTTTAACTGGTTCTCCACATTTACCAAAACAATCAGGATTGAAGGACCAGAATTAGGAGACCCCCCCGCCCTTCTGTGGCCACTAGATAGCACTCCAGTTTATCCGGAGTATTGATTATACAGTGTGGCCCCAGTCCCAATAAGATCAGATGAACAGGGTTCTCCTGTATTTGGACTATGTGGTCTGATGCACAAATGCAGTACTTTGACATGTTATTAAATGAATATAAGTCAATGATGTCAGACTAAGTATGCCTCAAAATGATGCATTTTGCAGCACATCACTAACAAAAGATAACATAGCAAAATGTGCTGCATAATCTGCTGTCACTTTTTTGCAAACTACCTATGAGAAAGCAGCAATATTAACCATTATTCAGCAAAGTAATATAGAAGAAAGAATAATGGAGAGAAGGATGTCGAGTAAGAATGCATGGCATTGAGTTGTTTTAGAGAATGTTTTCATTGAAGAGTTAACCCAGGCAATGGGCACCAGAGCCAACTTTCCTCGGTTGTAAGCAGCCACTCTTGAGTTACTTGTCTTTGCTGGGGCTGTACTACCCAACTGTGTCACTAAGACTTCTGGGGTACATCTCAAGATTCTTAGTGTTGCAGTAAACTGAGATTCTATGATTCTTTCCCAGTGAATTGTGGAAGAACTTGTCCTTCTGGGCACACGAGAGCAATTGTGAGAAGATGTTGAAGGACAATCAGTTGTTCTGCCTTCCTGGTCACTGTAAAGTGTGCAGGATACTAGCCCAAGTATGTACGCCAAGACGAGCCAGCTGGCCCAGGTGGAAAGTACCATCAAATTCAGATCGGAGATTACTGTTTGTGAACAGGAGCTGGGCTAAGAACAGTACCTAAGCAAGAGCCTGGCTAACTCTACAGTGAAGGCGCAGATCTATGGGTTTGCGGAAAATGCTCTTTGTTTTTAAATGAGAGAGTGAACAACTCCAGATTGCTGCATCTTGCAAGTGTGTTTGATTATTGCAGCTACTTTTTTTCCCCACGAGAAGGAATGTGGTTTGGCGTCTGTAATTTCTGGGTAACACATTTTTAAGATACGCGTGATTTTTTAAAAGCAATTTCAGATCTGAGCAGAAAGGAAACAATTCTGGTAAAGTCAAATTAAATCATCAATATCTCATGAAAAAAAGAAAAGTTGAAAACAAGCCTTTTGTGCAAAGAATCAAGAAAACTGACTTCTCTCCTAAAAAACAGCTTCTCGCAAAAGTCCTGAGGTATCTGATAGTTGTCTTTTAGATTACCTTTGATCTGTTCCACCTATCCCCAATTCTGTATTAGTTTAGATATCTATTTGTTTTATATAACCTATAGATAAAGACAAAGTATGGTACTTTTGTTAATGTTTGGTTAACTCCCTGCCATCTTTCAAATCCTTGTTCCATACTACTGCAGTGCTAGAGGTATTTTTTTTAAATGGTCAGACCTATTCTATCTTAGCCAAAACTACCGATTTGTCTTTGACTTGGTCTCAGAATGGCTGATCTGGTTTGATTAAACTTTCTCCTCAGGCACACATCAAGCATGGAAAATTTCAGCCTGAAAAGTTTGTCAACATTGTAGGCTACTGAAAACTCTGGAGTTATAATGGAAATTACTAGACATCTTTAATAATAGGAATTGCTGTTGCTTTACCTATATAGTGTGTGTGCATAAATTCTTTGGTACCTGGTTAAAATATTATGTGGTTCCTTGCTGGTTGTAATGTTGCACTTTTCAGATTGTATTTCAACTATAAAGGAGCAAAATTAAACAGGAAGCAAATGAAGAGTCAAAAGACGCAGAGTTATAATAAGGAAGCAAAATCAGGCTCTGGGGAAAAATTAGTGAGTTGTATCGTGAACTACTGGAAGGTGAATCTCACTCTAGCTGTAAAAGAATCCAGACTTCCCGTGTGTTCATGTCTTTATCTCTTTACAAATATACGTCTTCCACGTTATAATTCTCAACAGAAGTAGCTTTCCTCTTTTACAAGTTTTTTTTCATTAGTTAGGGTTTATTAATTTACTAGCCAATTAGCCCATTATAAGATGGGATTTTCAGGTCTCTCCTACATGTCGGTCTTCTCTCCTGAGCCTCTGGTCTCTCGCTCCGTGTCTTTCTCTCTCTCCTCCTCCTGCCTCCCCCCCTCTTTCTCTTCCCCTCCCGCTCCTGCCTCTCACTCGGGGGACCGCGGAGCCCAAACGGTCACTTTCGCCACCTGCTCCCCTACGGCGGCCCAGCTGAGCGGCGCAGAAGTCAGCCGAGCGCCACGGCGGGAGGCGAAGGACATGACCCAGGCGACAGCGCCGCCCAGAGGGAACCGCCAGCATTTCAGCATTACAGAGTCACAGATATTGGGCTACTATATATATACTTATTAAGCATCATCTCTCTCTTTATATGAGAGCCCTTGTTGTAATAAGAAAAATACTTATGTCCCCATGGCATGTCTACAGGGGTTGTTATATGTGGCTGCTGTGCAAATTGCCTGTCCCACAGAGTTTGACTCCTGGGCAGCACTGATACGTGCTAGACAGCATCCTCTTGGTTTGAACTGCCAATGCAGAAACAGCTCTCACAAATGTGTGTTGTCCTCCGGAGATCTCATTAGCATATTATGATGGTCTTGGCCAGAAGATTTGACTGTCTCCTAGAGTAACAAGTCCTTGGGTGACTGCACAGATACAAACTTTCAGAGGATTGCCTTTTTTAATATCTCTTGACCGCCACTTTACCCCAATTAAGTCATTGTTAGGATTCTCATACAGCACTGTTCTTCCCTTACGCATGGCTCTAGAATTCGCTGTTGTTCGTATAGGACTAACAGCATGCTGGCACTATGGAATTGTAAAGGCCATGTGACCTTTTCCCCCACAAAGGACAATGATTCCAACTCTGGTTAATCCTTGCTAAATCAGGTGGCTACCAAGAACTGCTTCCAAAAGAGGCAGAAATC